TCTATTCCCATTCCCATAAAATAGTTAATTGTGCCTCGGAAATACAGGCAGGAGTTAATGCGCATAGCACACGACATACCATTGTCAGGGCATTTAGGAATCAGCCGAACCAAACATCGGCTGACTCAGAATTTCTTCTGGCCAGGTGTCTCACAAGATATTAGACAATATTGCAATACCTGTGATACCTGCCAGAGGGTCGGAAAAAGGGGAGACAGATATAAAGCTAAACTGCACTCCCTACCCATAATAGAAGAACCCTTTAGTAGAGTAGCGGTGGACATAATAGGACCGCTGAAGAAGCCCAGTCCCTCTGGCAAGAAGTACATCTTGACCGTATTGGACTACGCCACCAGATACCCTGAAGCAGTGGCCCTAACTAATGTACCTGCCGAAACCGTGGTGGATGCCCTTATGCGAATATTCTCCCGCATGGGATTGCCCCGGGAGATTATTTCGGATAGAGGTACCCAATTCACGGCAGAAGTCACTCACCAACTCTGGAAAGTATGTGGGGTAAAATCTATCCTAAACTCTCCCTACCATCCCCAGTCTCATGGTCTCTGTGAATGGTTTAACAGAACACTGAAACAAATGATCCAGACGTTCATAGACACGCAGAAAGACTCGGAACGATTCCTACCCCACTTACTGTTTGCCTATAAGGAAGTTCCCCAAGAATCCACTGGGTTCTCTCCCTTTGAATTATTGTTTGGAAGAAGAGTGAGGGGCCCCCTAGATTTAATCAGAGAACACTGGGAGGGGGAGTGAACACTAATGGTACCCCTATTGTACCATATGTGCTGGAATTCCGGGACCGCTTGGAGGCGTTGACCCAGACCGTACGTACCAACCTTCAAGCGGCCCAGCAAAGACAGCGTAGATGGTATGATAGGGGGGCCAGGGACCGCAGCTTTCAGGTCGGGCAGAAGGTGTTGATCCTATGACCCGTACCTACTGACAAGCTGCAGGCCTCCTGGCAGGGCCCATTCAAGGTGGTAGAGCAAATCTGCGATACCACCTATATAATTGGCCCATGCGCTGGGGCAGGGGGGAGACGCATGCTTCATGTGAACATGCTGAAACTCTACCACGAGGGCACGGAAGAGGTGACCACAATCTGTGCCTCTGCCGCCGAGGACGCGGATAATTTACCATTACCAGATCTTCTCGCCAGGGAAACCCAAAAAG